TCTGTTTCTGTTTAGGGAACCAGTTGGCTTAACTGACTTGTTCCATTGAGTCTTGAGTTCTTGAAGTTTTTGACTACTTTCTTTAGAGTATGTTCACAGGTGCAGAAACTTCAAATGTTTGTCATCATCAAAAAGGGGGAATTTGTTGAGTCCCTTAGGTTTTGATTGATAGTTTTGAATGATGACAAACAGCTAAGGGAAACAGGTCTTTGAAAGTGTTCAATACAGTTGGGGGAACCAGCTAAAATAGAACAATGTTTTCCTAGATAAGTCATTACTTATATGAGATATTTGTTGAACTAACTTATCTTTATACAGGGAACAGTTAGTTGATAAATGAGCTATGCACTGGTAGGGAACCAGTATAAACTTTTTTCTCAAACTGCTCTTATGAAAGGCAGTTGCTTATTTATTATTGTACATTAACTTTGTTAAATGTGCAGTATCTAAGTTGATTTATAAGATTGGAAGCTTGAAAGGATTTTCGATCAACTTAAAGGAAGGTCCTTTGGTCAATAATTGAGTTCATTCATGGAAGCTTTCAAGACTTAACGAATGCATGAAGGAAGACTACACTCAAAGAGTTATTTAGGAACCTCATGTAAATGCTCCGTAGTATAACTTATATAATTGAGTATATAAAGTGCTTTTAGTATATTAAATATCGTTATGAAATTTGGTACAAGGTTTGGAACAAATTTCATAACATATTCAGTTCAGGGAACCAGGTTAACTGAACAGATTATTCAAGCTGCCGTTTTTACAAAGATTTTACAAAAAGGATAATTTTCGAAAAATATGGATTTAAAATATATCCAAGCAGCTAAAGATAAGATGATATGTTTGGTTAGCTAAAAACTAGGAAGTATTTTATCCTAAATTGATTTTATCTTGTGATCAAATCAATTAAGATAAATACTTATCATAAATCGCATATATCTTATATGCATGATTTAAGGTAACTAGGGTTTAGCTAACTAACCTATAAATACATCTTATTCTGAATAATCATAGACACAGCTCTCACGCATTTTAATAGAGTTTTATTTTTGAGAGCTAAAAGCACTAATTCAATTATTAAGTGATACACAAGAGCATAATAGTGTTTTAACGTTTTTCTCTATTTGACTTTTGAGAGTTAGATCATTAGAGAATTCTTGATCTTGTATTAAGTCTTTGACAAAGGGGTTGAAGACTTGGTGAGTGTTTGTGAGTTCAAACACACTAGGAACTTACGAGGGTAAGTTTAGAGCGCATTCGGAGTAGAGTGTGGGGTTTACTGGTTCCCGGAGTAGGAAAACAGTAGAGTGTTCTTTGTCTTTATTTTTCGAAGTAGATTAATAAAGGACTTAGGATAGGAGGACGTAGGCCAGAGTTGGCTGAACCTCGTTAAATTTGTGGTGTTCTTTATTGCTTTGTTTTATTCCGCTGCATAAGGGAACCAGCACAACTGGTTCCTTACACATAATCCGAAAAGAAGCAAAAATTGCTAACGATTGCTTAACACTCAATTCACCCCCCCCCCCTCTTGAGTGCCCATTGAACCTTCAGACGTGCCTAATAGGGAGGCACGGCCGTGCCTACCTCTAAAATGCCATTTTCTTGACTTTTCTTCAATCTCCAAACTCCATGGGCTTTGACTTACTTCATGGATCTATAATTCATCCAAATTAGCTCCATAATTCCTGAAAATCATCAAAAACAACAAAACTACCCATAAAAGCATCAGATTATCCAAACTAAAGCAAAATACGCCAAAACGGACTCAAATACTCAACTAAACTAACAAAACTAACTAAAAACCAACCAAATAATATACACAAAACACGACTTATCAAACTCCCCCAAGCTAAACTAATGCTTGTCCTCAAGCATTTAACCATGAATCACAAGGGAAGAGAATGATAACTCCTCAAACAATCACAATGTGTAATCGAGTTCAAAACCATGATAAAAACGAAATCAAGAATCCACATGTACAAAAACCGCCATTCATCTCATATACTTAGACTTGACAACCAATCTTACCACACATCTCCCCATACCTACTCACACAAACATGAATAGTTCTCACTTTAGTTGTGAAAAATAAAAACAATAACGCTCATGTGTTTTCGGGGTGAAATATGAAGCCACTCAACCTAAGCATAGCATGCATATCAACTTCACACAACCGGCCTCTTTAGGCTTGCAATGCAACTTTCTCCACTTTTAGTGATTGATGCAAACACGAAAATCATGAAATCCATATTAGGTAAGCTCGGTAGATAAGGGTTGGACGACGTAATTTGGGAATGTGGTGCTCAAAATAAAACAAATCCTAATCCCACTACACATTCAAATGTCGGGTTCAAGCCAACCTTATTTCCTCCAACTTCATACAATATAAACATAGCCCTTTTATTCTTTCTTTCCCTTTTTTTTTTCTTTTTTTTTTTATTATTTATTTTTTTTTCACAAAGAGGAGGGAATTAATAAATAAAAACAAATGGAAGAACTCTCAATTTTTCAAAAGCCTTTAAGGCCACTTTTCTTTTCTTTCCTTTCTTCCCTTTTCTAATATCCCCTCTTTCTCTTGTTTTCTTTCTTTTTTTTTTTTTTGAAAACTCTCTTTTTTTTTCGCTTCTTTTTTTTCAACATCATTCACACTCATAGGGCTTAACAAATGTAAAACACCTTCAAAATAAACCTAGAAAAATAGCTCTAAAGCTTTAAATGTAGGGTATCAAGAAGGGGTTAATATGGCTCAAATTGGTTCAACCTACGGGTGAATGTAAAATAAAAATAAATAAAAACAAAAAGAAAAAACATGAAGGCCTAGAATGTGGAGGCTCTAAATTCTACAAGGGAATTTCAATCATCTTTTCGCGACATGCATCATAAAGTCTCAAATAGTCAAAAAGCAAGACCAAGAATTCGATTATATGAAGGACAATCTAATCACACAAGAAGAAACATGACTGAGGTAGAGTGAAATCAGTTAAATAAGGCTCAAGACTCTCACCGGGTACACAAACTATTCACATAAGTAGAGCGGGGAGACCATCCTAGCCACTACCTAGCTCAATTCCAAGCACATCAATGAATGGGTTTTCGAAAACTCTCTTTTTTGTTCAAAAAGCACACATATGTGATTATAATCATAGAAGCATAGTCATGCAATGGCATATTATTCGACACTAGAAAGAAATAAACTACCCAAAAACTGAAATAAAACTAATATATACATGGTGAAAAGCAAATCCTCCCCCAAGCTAAACCATACATTGTCCTCAATGTATGCATAAATCAAGGCAAATAAACAAGGGGAAGGGAAAGGCAAACTACTGATCAGGAGGGGTGGGGAAGTGATCCTTCAAGGTGGCCTTATTCAACTTCCTATAATCTATACACATTCGCAATCCTGTGACAGTTCTAGTGGCGACTGGCTCACCCTTGTCATTCTTAACAACGGTCATACCTCCCTTCTTTGGTACTACTTGTACAGGGCTAACCCACTTACTATCAGAGATAGGGTAGATTATACCTGCAGCAAGCAATTTCAGAACCTCTTTTTTAACTACCTCCATCATATTAGGATTAAGTCTTCGTTGAGGTTCTACAAAAGAGGCATGATCGTTTTCAAGAATGATCTTATGCATACAAAAAGAAGGATTAATGCCCTTGATATCATCAATGGTGTACCCAATGACACTTTTATATGTTTTCAAAACGTTGAGCAATTGCTCCAATTCTGTGTCCTTGAGTTCAGCATTGACAATAACGGGATATGAATTATTTGGACCAAGATATGCATATTTTAAGTTAAAGGGGAGGGGTTTCAACTCTACCTCGGGAGGCTTAGAACTCTCCCCAATACTCATTGCTTCCAATGTCTCTCTGATCGGGTTCTGATTTGGATTGGCCTTTGCTTCATTAAGTAACCTGGTATACTCCTTAGACTGCCAATCTCCATTATCATCTTCCTTCCCTAATAGAACTTGTTCGAGGGCATCATCATTCTGATTCAAGGGAAGTTGCTCATTCTTTAGCTCATCGAGCACCTCAACCTGACAAACAATGTCTCCCATAGAAGCGGCACCCATAACATTCAAAAGTGAGTATTCCAATTTCTCATCACCTACTTCAAAAGTAATCTTACCTTTCTTCATATCAATAATTGCACCTGCAATAGCTAAGAAAGGTCTACCAAGTATAATTGGAACATTCACATCTTCATCCATCTCCATCACAACAAAATCACAGGGAATGAAAAACTTACCTACTCGGAGGTGGTACATCCTCAAGTACACCCAAAGGAAACTTCACTGACCTGTCTGCAAGTTGCAGGGATATGCGTGTGGGTTTGAGTTCATCCATTTGTAGCTTCTTGCATATGGACAGTGGCATGAGGCTTACACTTGCACCAAGATCGCACAATGCTCTGTTGATTTCGATATCCCCAAGCTTCACTGGAATCGAATAGCTACCTGGATCTCCTAATTTCTTAGGGAGAGTGTTCTGCAAAATAGCACTGCACTCTGCATTCAAAGCAACTGTAGTATTCTCTTCTAACTTTTTCTTGTTAGATAGCATATCTTTTAAGAATTTTGCATAAGAAGGCATCTCAGATATGGCATCTAAAAATGGAATATTAATATGAAGCTTTTTAAGAATATCAAGAAACTTACTGAACTTTTTCTCAAGTTTAGCTTGGGATAACCTTTGAGGAAAAGGAACCTTAGGCACATACGGAGCAAGTGGCTTTGGTGGTGCTTCCTTTGATTCATCCTCGACCCTAGGGTTGTCAACTTCCTTCTCACTTGCACCTACTTCTTCAATGACCTCCCTTGATGGCTCCTTGGTAGGAAGATCTTCCAAATGCATTCCACTCCTCAGGGTGACGACATTCATTTGGCCTTTTTGAGGTTGTTCTGTCTGGCCCGGAAAAGTTCTTGGAATCTTTAAGATTGGCTAACTTGATTAGCAAGTTGGCTTATCTGGTTTTCCATGAGTTTACTTTAGGCCTGTAACTGTTGTATAGAGCTATTTTGGTGTTGGATGGCACTATTTGTTGCGGTTATAAAGCTCTCTAACGTCACCTCAAGGCTAGATTTCTGAGGTTGTGGTTGCATTGGTTGTTGGGTGCTGGGTGGTCTTTGTTGGAAACCAGGTGGTGGTTGGTTGTAGTTGTTGGGTTGAGGTGGATTTTGCTGTGCTTGGGTATTCTTGTATGAAAAGTTAGGATGGTGTTTCCATCCTTCGTTATAGGTGTTAGAATAAGGGTCATAAGGTCTCTTTGGGTTAGAGGAGTAAAAAGCATTAGCTTGCTCGATTGACATCTCTTCTGTATTCTGCAAAATCTGTGGGCAATCTGGAGCAACATGACCCTGCACATGACATAACTGACACAACTCCTGTGGGGTGTTAGAAGTTCCTGCTTGGAACTTATCAAACCTGCTTGTTAGTGCTTGAACAGAACTAGTTAGCATAGTTAAAGCATCTACATCAAGCTTACCTCCTTTTTTCACATTCTGACGACCTCCTGGATGATAATTATCATTGGCCGCCATCTTCTCAATCAGGTCCTTTGCCTCAGTTGGATTCTTTGTCAAGAAAGAACCCCCTGATGCAGCATCAATGTAGATTCGGAACTCATGGGTTAGGCCATTATAGAAGGTTTGAATCAACAGCCACTCTGGGATACCGTGATGAGGGCATTGTCTCTGTAACCTCTTGAACCTTCTCCAAGCCTCATAGAGAGACTCGTCATCTGACTGTCGGAAGGTGGATAGCTCGTTCCTTAACCTGGCAGTCTTCTCATGTCCCAAAAACTTCACTAAGAAGGCCTTCACTAGCTTGTCCCATGTATCGAACGAGCCAGTGCCTTCATCTCTCAACCACTCTTTCGCCCTATCCCGTAGTGAAAAAGGGAAAAGGCGAAGTCTGATAGCATCATCTGTAACACCATTCATTTTCATAGTATCACATTTCTCCAAGAAACTATCAATATGACTTACTGGGCAATCATGTGGTGTGCCTGCAAATGAATCATTGGAGATGAACTGGATGAATTGCGGCTTGAGCTCAAAGTGTTGAGCTGTCACAGGTGGTCTTACGATGCTAGAAAGGATTCCGCTAGTCGTATCAGGAATACCGTACTCCAAAAGGGACTTCGTTGGTTGGTCTACCATGTTTCTATTGGTTTGATTTCTCCTTCTTCTTCTACCTGCCCGTCTTCTTGCGGTTGCTTCGATTTCAGAATCAAAAGGTGCTAGATCTTCTGAACCTGAGCTTCGTGTGGGCATGCAACAAGAAAACTAGAGAAAGAGTATCAAAAACACAAGAAAAAAAATAGCCGAAGCAACGAAATAAGCCTAGCAAAAACGAATCACAATTAATCTAATGAAACCGTTAGTCCCCGGCAACGGCGCCAAAATTTGGTAGGCGTGTCGCGTACCTATCAAAAATAACCTAACAGACCAATACTAATGTAGACTGGCAAGTAAGGGTTGGATCCCAAGAGACTAAGGTTCAGGAACAATTAATTAGACTCAAATTTCTACTAAGCAAGAATCAATTATAATCGATAACTAAGGGCCTAAAATATAGGAAAAATTCGAAAATAAACTAATTAAGATGATTAAATCAAGCAATTAAAAACATCCAAAATCTAGCTTCACCGCAACTATTATTGACGCAATTGTAATTCTACCCTTAACATACGATTTCAAGTGAACGGGGAAAAGTAAACCCTAATAATTACCAAGGATCTCTCTCGAGTATCAATGGCTTCCCTAACATACAATCAATCCTATTCTCATGGTATCATGTATATTAAAGACATTAAACACATTACTCTCACTTCCCAATTATCAAACCCAACTACTCTCGTGTTGAGAATCAAACCTTAAATTGATTTACTCAAATCCGTTTATACCCAACTCTCGCTGTGATAAAAACAATGGAATAATCGCAATACTATAGTTACGTCTAACCTAGCATTGGCATAATCACAATCAATTTAGCAATTCAATTGTTAAAGTTATTAAAGAATTTAAAGATTTAATTCATGCATCAATAATAATAGGGCTACACTAGATCTTGAATTAAAGAATCTACTCACACATGATTAAAGAAACGAAAACAACAATAAATAATGAAAACATAATTAAATAATAAAGGATGAGAAATAAATACCAAATCTTGAATAAAATTGAAGGTAGAAACCTTGAATCTTGAATTACAAAACTTAGAAAAGTAGATGGACAACTAGTTCTTCATGAGAGAATAAAAATAATATAAGGCTTAAAAAAAATATCTCCAAGAAAAACAAGGCTAAAAATTATTTATATGAGCCTAAAAAGATAAGAAAAACGGCTAAGCCTTGGCGCACAAGAATCCCAGGAGGCACGGACGTGCCTCTTCATAGGCACGGACGTGCCTCTACACGTAGCAAAATTGCTGCAGTTTCTGTCTTCCAGGCATGGACTTGCCTGATGCTGGGCACGGACGTGCATGCTTCTTTACCTAGGCACGGACGTGCCTCTTCTGCTAGGCACGGACGTGCCTAGGGTCTTCCTTTGGCGCAGCTTCTGGCACAGAGGCACGGACGTGCCTAATAGGGAGGCACGGCCGTGCCTACCTCTAAAATGCCATTTTCTTGACTTTTCTTCAATCTCCAAACTCCATGGGCTTACTTCATGGATCTATAATTCATCCAAATTAGCTCCATTATTCCTGAAAATCATCAAAAACAACAAAACTACCCATAAAAGCATCGGATTATCCAAACTAAAGCAAAATACGCCAAAACGGACTCAAATACTCAACTAAACTAACAAAACTAACTAAAAACCAACCAAATAATATACACAAAACACGACTTATCAATGGTTGTTTGTGTACAGTCCCATTTGAATGTTGCCTAGTAGTGCTTGCAAGTCGGTGCCTTTGCCTTTGTGTATGAGTCCCCCATAAAGTGTTATGTGTGTGTACAAATTCCAAATGATGAAGAGACTCACTTTAAGTTGGATGTGTAGGTTAGTTTTGCTCCAACAAGTGCCTTTTTAAACTTGTTGTTGAGGTAACAACCTACAACATCTCACTGAAACAAAATTAACCTCCCTGATGGTATTCATTTTGAAGATGCATCCTCATATTCATTGATTACAATTTAAAAAGTTACATGTAAACAGTCCCTTAACCTAAACATTCATCACATGACTGCCTAAAAATAAGGAATTTTATCTACCAAAATACACCTAACTAAAGCATTATAAGCATGAACAAAAAACAGTTGCTTACTTAAGACAAAAACCAGTTGTGAGTCCTACTTTGGTTATGTGTGAAAGTCATGTAGTCATTGAATGATGGCCATCTGTTGTACCTAGTCTGCATCAACCTCTGACTTCATGTAGCCTGCATTGTCTTGATTTGTTGGAATAAAAAGAGTGTTGAGGTGCTCAACAGCTTGTTGAATGAGTCCCCTTTCAACTTCCAAAAACTCAGGAAGAAGACCTAGGCTGTCCAACCTTTTTTTGCCCATATGAGGTGGATTGAAGTTGTTGCCCCCTTCTTTCTCTAAAATCTTTTTCATTACTCCTTACAAAGTGATCCATGTGTACTTGTTCAGTATTGGATCAAACCATTCATAAGCCTCATACATTTTCTCTATTAGTTCATCAATTTTTGTGGGAAAGGACTAGTATTGCAAGGACTGAATGACCTTGAACAGACCAAGGTCTAGAACATTCAGATCTGGAGATTGAGCTGGTTGGAACACCATTTAAATGTTGAAACCATTAGCTGTACATGCTGCAATGAATTCATCATCCCTTGAAATTTGATGTGGCTTTGCATTATTCCATAGAATGAATATGTCTTTAGACAGACTAGGAAGCCATTGCCTGTGTATTACTGGAATGATGTTGTTCATCAGCATTTTCCTGATTTCTTCTTTGGTCACACTTTGCACAACCTTTGTCTCCATGACCCCTGCATCTCTGTTCTTGCTTTTATTCTTAGCCCTTTGCTGGTAAGTAATGGAAAAATTCCATACTTACCATCATGCAGCATATTTCCATTTAAGTCATAAAGAGGCTTACCAATCATCCCCATGAATATAGCTTTAATCTTGTATCTCTTGGACTGCTGACATATGTAGGGGTTTTCTTCCTTTGGTAAGAGGTAGAACCTCCTTGTTTCAGGGTTCATGTAGAACCATTTTTCATCTATGTGTATAACCTGTTGCATGTCCATGAAAGTTGGATCCCCAATTGCTGGAATAGGGTTAATATGGCCTAATGCCCACTTCAGTCTAGCTACTTTGTGATTTGATGTGAGTGTTGGATGGTTGGTGATTGTATGTGCTCTTAATCTGCCCTTTTTCTTCAAGTTATAGAGAAATCCATGTGATACTTTCAGAGCAGCTGCATAACTCCTTTTTGTTGTCCTTTTGTATAAAGGCACTGACTGCAAGAATATGGCCTAATGCCCACTTCAGTCTAGCCACTTTGTGATTTGATGTGAGTGTTGGATGGTTGGTGCTTGTATGTGTTCTTAATCTTCCCTTTTTCTTCAAGTTATGGAGAAATCCATGCGACACTTTTAGAGCAGTTGCATAACTCGTCTCTGTTGTCCTTTTGTATAAAGGCACTGACTGCAAGTACTCATAAAAAATCAGTCTAGGTTTGGGACCAGTTTTCCCCAATTTTTTGCTTCTGACATCAATCATATTCCCTTGTGCTATACTTTGTTTAAAAAACTACCAGACCCTCAATGATGTGCTTCTGTGAATACCATATTTTCTTGCCATTTGTGACAAAAAACCTCTGGGTAATTCCCCCCCATGCATGTTCAGTAGATAGTCATCAACCATTTGGCGTTTCTGATGCACAGTTAACTACTTCCTACTTGTTGGTTGTGCCTCTGCCTGTTGTTCCTCTTCACTGTTGTCCCCCTCAGCTTCATCATCCATGATTTCATCACCTGTGTTGTACTGAAATGGTCCTTCATTTAGCAGTTGCTCTATATCAAAAAACTCCTGATCAAAGTATGCTTCCATGTGTTGTGTGTCCCTTTTTTCCTGTTTTTGCAGATTTGAAGGATGGTGATGAAGTTTTTTGGTTGTATTTTGTTGAAGTGGTGATGCAGTTGAACCCTAATGCTGCCCTTAGTTTAGGACTAATTTCAGTGTAGGCAGTTACTTTTTTGACTAATTAAAGTTGTAATTAATGGGTTTTTTTTTTAAGAAACATGAATGTGAATTGAATGCCCATGGTGGGTTAGGTTTGTAATGAATGTGGATATTGAATGCTCTATGCCTTTTATATGAGGCACCTTATGTTGGAATGAATTCAAAAGGTTAAAAATTTAGTCAAATTTGAAATGTGGCTGAAAATCTGAATTTGGGGTGAAAATCTAAATTTTGGGGGAAATTTTGAATTTCAGGTGAAAATCTGAAATTTGGGGTGAAAATCTAAATTTTGGTCAAAATTTGAATTTTAGAAGAAAATCTGAAATTTGGGAGAAATCTGAGATTTGGGTGAAATTTGGGGGAAAGTTGAATTTTGGGTGAAATTTGGGGGAAATCTGAATTTTGGGTGAAATTTAAAAATTTCACACCAAAAAAAAAAGGAGGCAAGCAAAACCCCTCCAACAGCCAACGAAAATCATAAATGGGGGGAAAAGTGGGACTATTTTCCAACTTTATCCCACTAACTTAAACCTAACCAAAAACAAAAATATGTGGGACCATTTCTTTCCCTCCATTTTCCCACTTAATTAAACCCACCCAAACTTAATTACAATCCACTAAAAGTTTTGCCTAGGAGTCCGCAAAAAACTCCCTTTGGTGCAGATAATCGTGGGCGGAGGGAGTATATTGATATATGTATGTCATTGTATAACTTTCTAATGAATCAACAATCTTTAGATCTATAGACATGGTATGCTTCTAATGTATCGTCTATAAAATATAGAGGGGTGACACGTGACATGTATCCTACATCAGATATACTTTTAATATACTATAGATAGGTTAAAGAATTTTTAATGATATCAAACAAGGACAAGAGGAAAATATTAAGATATAAAGGAGGTAATATATATATATATATATATATATATATATATATATATATATATATATATATATTTTGATAGAAAGGAGGTAACATTAATTTATAAAATC